CAGTTTGCTGTCTTCTTTATTTTTTATACTACAGGGTGGTGTTCTTTACCTAGCCTTGGGAATACAGAAAATTGGAAATAGGATCTCCTTCAAGGAGAACAAAAGGAGATGGATAATAAGTGCATGCACAGAGATAAAATATGCCAATGGCTTGCTAAGCACAAGCTTCTTTGTCCCAATGTATCCACAGAGGTTCAGTGGATTTGTAACCAAGGGGAACTAGTACCAGGCAAAGAAACAAGTCTTAATCCTTTACCAGAAAAATTCCACAAAGTTACTGATTCCCCAAAGGCCTGGGGGAATCATTTTCTCCATAGTCAAATTCTTTTGATCATCCTCCAGCTTCCTAGGCACTCTTCTTTTCAGTCTACCTGAAGAAAGGAAAGGTAGCAAATAAGCACTTTTTATAACAAATATCTCATTTGATCCTCACAACTATCTTATGAGGGAAGGGCTATTGTTACCGCCATTTTACAGTCAAGGAAACTGAGGCAAACAGGGGTTAAGTGACTTGCTCAGGGTCATACAGCTGGTAAATGTCTATAGCTAGATTTGAACTCAGGTCTTTCTGACTACAGGCCCAGTGCTCTATCTCCAGTGCCACCAGCTGCTTCTGAATGTGAATATACATTTCTTCCTCCACGTTGCAAATAATTGTCCCTGAAGACATCATCTTCCCTAAACAAAGATCATTATTAAAGTGGACGGGAAGGATGAATGTGGTATAGTAGAAAGAGCCCTGGATTTAGAGTTAGAAGACCTATGTTGGAATGCTAGTTGTGCCCCTTGTTATCTTGTGTGAGACCTTGGGAAAGCCCCTTCACTTCTCAGTTTTCTAATCTGTAAAATAAGGAGGATAGACTAGATGATCTCTACAGTCTCTTTCAGTTCTATGGAACTCTGCTTAAAACAAAACAAAACTTAAAAAAAAATATCCAAGGAGATTTATCCAGTGATAGAAGTACCTTTGTGGTGGTGGTGGTTTAGATTTGAGATTTTCTTCTTAAATTTGAACCTTGGACAGGAAAAGTGTGCTTCCATATTCTACATAATTCTGAGTTCACTATTGGCCCTGACAAATAAGGAATGAAAGTAATAACTATAACAATATTAGTTCACCGAGGGACACATTGCATATTGATTGATTGGGGAAAATGGAGAGACCACAGTTCATCATGTTTCCGTGGGACAATGCCATTTTGCATTATTTTCTAGCATCATTATGACTATAGTGTTCTTATGAAAACCAGTACGAATCTTACTCTTTTTACATCATTATTTGTAGCAACTAATTCTTAAGTTCTATTCTTTAATATAACACATGTATATTTTGTTAGATTCCTCTATTTAGTTTAATCATCTGAAATTATGCAGGCATTTGGCCACTGATCTTTTATCCAGGTGGTGAAACAAAGTTAAAAAGAACGTAAGCAGAGGAAAAACACACAGTTTACAAACGGTCCTCAGATCTGAAGTCTATCGTTGGTAGGCATGTCAAGATGCTGTAACAGGTAGAATAATGGCTTACCCAACAGATTGCTTGTATTCATATTTTTTTAAACTATCAGAAGAGACATCCATGAACCTCCCTAGCAGTAACATGTTACCAAAATAAAATAAAAGTGTTTCTGATTAATGATTTCCTATTTATTTGCCTGTTAGATCCATTACCTATTGTCTTGGTTTGGCTGCTTTACCCAAGCTTCTATTCCAAAAAGGATCAGCGAGCACACAGAATGACCATATTTTCTCCAAATCACTGCACTCCAGAGACTTCTGAGTGGTACCATTGAGAGCTCTCAGTGGGAGTGGGAGAACATGCTTCTCTTTTTGCAATAAATATGATACCAAAAGGGAGAAAGGCTTCCTTAACTCCCTTGTTGTAATGTGTACTTCTGTCATGTTAAAAGGCTACCATCAGAGAAGACAGAAATGTGGGTATCTATATCCACAGACCTCTGTACTCTCTTACACACACACACACACACACACACACACACACACACACACAGAGAGAGAGAGCTCTGGTGCTGATGGCTTCTACAGAATGATTGCCCAGGTATATGAGATGACTGGGCCACACATCCCTGCACTAGAGAATGGAGTTGTCGGTGGGGAGGTGGAAAGGAGGCAAAAAGCCCAATACGATTCTCTTTTCCTCTGTATATTCCAAGGAGACATTACAACACCCTGTTCCCCCAAGACAGGCAAGCAGAGAATTGGGCTCATGAAGTATGCTCTATTTCAGAATTTGAGAATTAATTCTAAAGTACTCCCTGGTGCCCCTTTTTTAAAATGTCCAGGAATGATCCAGCATGTTCTTTTCCAAGGCAGAATATGTATATACTCCAGTTCATTGGATTTGAATAACACCTTGTAAACTAGGGACTGGTTGGCCCTTCTGAAAACTGAATTGAAAAACTGAGTTGGACATCCCTGTAGGGTACTAATTGATTAGACACTCTATAAAATCTATTTTATAAATGTATGGGCAATTGCTAGGCTCCAAAAGTGCTTCCGCATGGTATCATTGTTTTTTAATATGCAAGGTGAGTACCCTGTGAAGAATTCTGAGAGCTTAACTTGAATACTCAAGAGTGCTGAATGAAGAATACCAGTTTCAACCAATCTATAAGCACTTACTAAGTGCCAGCCATGTGACAGGCACTATGCTAGTATCTGCCGATGCAAATACAGTAAATTAAATAGTCATTATATGCAAGGATCTTACAACATATGGGAGTCGAGCTGTCAGCCTACTGAAATTTTTCTTTGTCCAAGCCAATTAAAATGCCCCATTTGAGAGCACCAATCAGCTAATCAACAAGTGTTTATTAAGCACCTACCAAATGCCAGGCACAATGCTAAGTACTGGGGATATAAGTAGAAATAATGAAAAAAGCCCTACCTGCAGTGAGCTCAATTTCTACAGGGGAAGCATCAAATAACTATGAAAATTTATATAGCATACATATAAAATAAATAAATGTAATAAATAATACATACACACAAAATAGTTAAATATTGTGTAGTTTGGGAAGGAGGGCAGTAACACTAAGGAATTAGGAAAGGCTTCATTCATTTTAACGGAAAGGAGGTGCTTTATGAGGGACTGGAAGAAGGGAGCACATTTCAGGCAAGGATATCTAATTTAAAGGTAAGGAGAGGAGAGTAAGGAGTGGTACTGGTGAGAAATAGAAGGAAAGCTAGTTTGCTTGGATCGAAGAGTAAATGAACAGGAGTAATGTTTAATTACACTAGAAATATGGGTGACACCAGACTGTGTAGAGGTTTAAAAGCCAAACAGAGTAATTCACATATTATCCTAGAAGCAATAGGAAGCCCTTGGAGTTGATTGAGTAAGTGAGTCACATGGTGAGATCTGTGGTTAAGGAAAATTACTTCAGCAATAATGTGTAATATGGATTGAAGTTTTGAGAGACTTGAGGGAGGGATACTAATTAGAAGATGGTTAGAATAATTTAGATTGTTACAATAAAGGGGTAGTAAAAACCTGAACTAAGGTGGTAGCTTTGAAATTGGAGAGAAGAGACCCGATGAGAGAAATATTGGAAAGGTAGAAATAATATTTGGCAACTGATTGGATAAGTGAAGTGAGGGAGAATGAAGAGTAAATAATAATGCTGAAATTATGACCCTGAGACACAGAAGGGATAGTAATGGCTTTGACAAAATAAGGAAGATGAGAGGTCTTAAGGTGAAAGAAAATAATTTTAGTTTTAGGAATGCTGAGTCTGTGGTACATCTAGTTTGAAATATATGATAGGCAAATGATCATCTACAACTGGAACTTATGAGAGAAACTGAGTGTTGGGTATATAGAACTGGGAGTCATCTGCATAGTGATGAAGGTTAAATACATAAGAGTAGTGGGGGAGAGAGAGAGAGAGACAGAGAGACAGAGAGAGACAAAGACAGAGAAAGAGAAAGAGACAGAGAGAGACAGAGAGACAGAGACAGAGACAGAGAGAGAATAGAAAAAAATAAGAATAGGGCCAAAGGCAGAACTTTGGGGTATGTCTACGTTACGGGGTATGAGGGTATGATGTGCATAATGAGCAAAGAATTGGTCAGGCAGATAGGAAACAATCTAGGAGTAGTATAAAAACCCAGAGGAGAGAAAATCCTAGAGAAATAATTAAATGAAGCAGATAAGTCCAAAAATGATTAAGAATGAGAAAAGACCATTAGATTTGTTGATTAAGGATTCATTGGCATTATATAATGAATGAGGGAGAGAGGGAGGTCTCGATTGATATATATAATATATATGTATATATTATCCATCCATCCATCCATCTATCTATCTATCCTTCTATCTATCTATGATTAAATCTCACCTGGTGAAAGATATCAACATTTAGATGGAAAGATAACCTAGACTAGTGATTAGAATATGAGATAGCATAGAAATCTATCTTCTTTCCAAGTCTTCCCTACAATGTCATCTTAGTTATATTGCTTCCTGACAGAATGGTTCCTCTATCTTTATATTTAATTATCTCACACAGGCCTTGTGAAAATTCATCAGTGTTGTTTAATGTTTTGAAAACACCAGGTAAATGGAGCTATGTAAATACAAGACACCATGATTGTTGCCATGCATATATGTTTCTTTTCCAGCATGGTTCCACTAAATCAGATGAGATCTTTTTTATTGGATTGAGTTCCTGAATGGAAGTTATAATATTTCTTCTTCTGGCTTCAATTATTACTTGGGCCAGAATAAGCTATTCTCTGAGTATAAGGTACCTCCAGGAAATAACCTACAGGGGGTGGTTTTCATGTGTTGCTTAGTATGTAGTTCTTGGATGTCTTCACAAAACCAATCCGTGTACTTTAATCTATGTTTCTAAAAATAAAAGCATGCCCATAGTAAATCCAATCTAAGTGCATCTGAAACTCTATAAACCAACAGCAGATATGAACTCAATATGTGTGTCGAACTAAGTAATGCTATTTTACCTCTTTGTTTGTAGTCTACTAGAGCATAAAATCCTAGAAATGGAAGAAAGACACAAGGAAGAGTTGGACACTTTAAAGGAAGAGAAGGAGAACCTACAAAACTTGGTGACTCGTCAGACATACATAATCCAGGAACTGGAAAAACAGTTAAACAGGGCAACCAGTAACAACAGTGTCCTTCAGAAGCAACAGCTGGAGTTGATGGACACAGTTCACAACCTCGTCAATCTTTGTACGAAAGAAGGCGGTAAGGACTTGTTCTTCACTTTGGGGTTTTGAATATTTGGCTTAAAATAATACAAATCTATTATAAATCATGACTTTCAGCTGATTTCACTGAAAGCAGTTGAAAATTAAAATTGTCTGACCTTAGAAGGATTTTAGAAAATACTAAGTAGGTTTGGAGCAGATATCTAAGTAAGAGATTTTCTTTGTAATTGCAATTTGTATATTTATAATATCCTGCTTATAATTTTTTCCATCTTCCTTTTTATTTTTCTTGATCCATATGACCATAGCAAATTTTTTAAAAATGTGCTCTCATGATTACTAATGTGCAGACAAAAACTTTTACCACACAAAAAAGAATTTAATAAATGAAAAAGGGTACATAGAGGAATAGAAAATAATTGATATTAGTATGAGAAGAGAAAGTAAGAATTTCAGTTTATTTACCTATAAAATGAGGAAGTCACATTAGGTCATCTCTAAGGCCCCTTCTAACCTAACTGACCACTTATTAATCTGTGAGTTTCACAGAATTCTTTTCATCTTACCTTTAAACTTAACATCCAGTACCCTTCATTTTATAACATATGTGGGCAGAAGTCTCTGGAAAGCACAACGTTGCTATGATGGAGGATAAAGGAAGATCATAATTAAAAAATGTATTAAGCAGCTATTTCAATTCAATTCAATGGGAATTTTTAGACCTCAAGCGATGTACCAGGCAATCAGGTAGGTACGTGGAATACAAAAACAAAAATGAAGCATTCCTTGCTCACAACAAAAGTGAATTTTATTGGGGGTGGTACAAAGTCAATTAACAGAGATGATGGCTGCTGTCAAGAAGTTTTTCTATCCTACAGAATTAGGAAAGACCTGAAGCTTGAAATCTCAGTAAAAATTATTGCTCTTGTCCCCTTCATATCTATGTCTTTACAGCACTCTGTGGAGTTAGTCTAAATACACATCTTGAGATCATCTCTGACAGTCCAATTCTTTGAGCAGCTTCACATGAGTGAATAAGAAAGTTGAGATCAGATGTGAATAAAATCAAGTTTAGTTATTCCAGAAAGTAAGATTCTTCCTTTAAGCTATTTAAAGTGAAATGGAGTTCACATTAAATTAATATAACTCATTTAATTAACATATTTTGTTGGCATGTTTAACAAACATGCATTCTTTAGATTCAAACCTTTCTCAAATTGAAGAGGATTTTATTAAATTATACAAATTTATTAGATAATATAAATAACTGCCTTGATGTCATACTTTTTCTCTATAATTACATATTAGAAGATTTCTATAATATTGACTTGATTCGTTAGTATGATTTCCATTACACTTTGATATCAGCAGACCTTGGCTCCCCTCCCCTTAGCTATGTTAAATAAGTTGGTAATACATATTGTTAGGCAATTTTAAAAAAATTTATAATAGATTCCCAGAGCAGCATTTGGGTGTAGACAACAATGAAAAAAAACAACCTGTTTATCAATTTCCATTTTCCTGATAGTATCATTGAGATTCTACTGGAATGAAGACTTGATATGACTTTAACAAAAGAATTTTATCAGAGTTCATGAGAATAAAAAAATTAAACATTCATGTGAGTGAGCTATATCCTATTCTTATATTGAGTCTAATACAGTTCTGAAAAGATTGAAAACACATTGTCTTTATCATGCTGAGATTTGATTCAGATACAGTTGTCTTGATTTCAAAGATAGAAGTTTCTAGGGATTCTTGAAAAGCTCAGATGTCCTTATGTTTATATTAGAGCTTTGCTTTTGAGTCTATGCATAAAAAGAATACATAGTAATGCCTCAAGCATAAAGTAACTACCTTAGAGGTAAGAGTATGACTTTAGAATCAGGACCCCTTGCCAAACAAGGAATCTGGGTGACTCCAATCATAGATTTTGAAATTCCTTTCTTTTTTTTCCTGACCTGGTCAGTAACTACAGCTATTAGGTTACATACATAGGTAGACCCAGAAACAGTGCTGTTTTTCTAATCCTTTTTTAAATGTTATTTTAGATGAAGTGTATCTTCTCAAGTAAACTTAGATTCACATACAATATTTCACTGACCTCTGTCTCTCTCTAAATTGAGTTCTATCTTATTTTGCTGTGGGTACTATGTTAGTGTGACCATCCACTTAGGTTTTTGCTCATCAAACTCTTCAGGTCATTCTCCACTTGATCTTTTATTAAAATGACTGATTACTTCAGGGCCTAAGAAGGTATTGCAAATGGGATGTTGAGCTGAATGATAACTTCTATCTGTATTTTAGTTTTGATGGAAGCCTTGATTTTCACTAGGGCCAAAAGCCCTCAGTTTTGTGAAGTCTAGTGCATGTTCATAAACCTACTTAACATTCAGACAAAAAGCTCTGTTCTGTAACTAGATCCATTCAGGCAAAGAGCTACTCCTGTCCATCAGATTTCAGATAGGTACCATTGCCTTATTTTGTCCAAACCATAATTAAAACCTTAGGCATTTTCATCATCATAAAAAATTATTGAGCATAAGTTGATAATTGTGGAACCATATAGAGAGAGTCAAACATTTATGGTATCTACCAAGGTGGTACAGTGGAAAGAATGCTAGAACTGGAGTCAGAAAACCTAGGTTTGACCTACTACTTTATAGAAGTGTGGTCTTGGGCAGTCAGTCAATAAATACTCCCTAAGTTCCTATTATGTTATATTACATTGGGGTGTACAGGTGTTCAGGGAAGACTAGTACCTCTGCTGTGAGTGCTGCCAAGCCCTTTTCAGGGCTGATTTCCATCTATAGTGTACACCTATGGCTCTAAGAAGCTGTAGCATGTGCAGTGGCCACTCTCTAGTAAGCCATTTTGGCAGATGGTCTAAACCAGGTTGAGGGTAACTGAGGGACCCCAAACTCATTGGTGAGTTAAGGGAGTGTCTACTCCACGCATATGGAGACCTCACCTGGCAGAATGGGCAGATGAGAACAATTTGTTCCAATAGACAGGAAGGCAGCTGAAACAGGCATTGTGGGGCACTTAGAGTTTGGTTAGACATGGAAGACAGCAAGGTCATCCACTGCATCTTAAGCCATCACAAATCATCTTGACTTTTGTCTTGCCATTGGACTCTGGAACAGAGAGTAAGCCAGGCAACTTCACATAACTCTGACTCATCTAAACCCAATTTATGGGCAAGTCAAAAGACATCACCCATGGCATTTTACCATTTTTACCTACCTCAAAGTCCTGTGGCAATAAGCAAGTGAGAAAGCAGCAGGTGCAGATACAGTGGGATCTGTAGATACCACGTTGCACATAGGCAGGGGCACAGGGTTGTCTTCTCACTGGACTGAAGCAGCAACGAGATTTGACAGCCCCATGGGTGTCTGAATAGCCTTTTTTTAAGGATCATATTTTCACCTCCTGGCATGAGGAATGGGCTAGAAATGGTATTTAATTTAACCCTGGCCTACTTATCATGGCAGGCAGGGATCCTATTTTGTGGTCGAAACACAAAAAAATGCATAAAACTTTTGCAAAGATGAATCTACTCACCATTGGTACATAAAATGTGCACATACTTATGGACAACATGAAATCCAGTAGCCCTTTGAGACAAATAGCTCTTGTGAGAGAACTCAACAGGTATCATATCCAAATATCAGCCCTGAGTGAAATAAGGATGGCAAATAAAGACCAGTGTACCAAAGGTGGAGCTGGATACATGTTTTTCTGGAGTAACCATAGTGATAGGGAGCTCCATTAAACTGGCATAGGTTTCACAATCAAAACTCATCTAGTGAACAAGCATGTGTGCTTCCTGACAGGAGTGAATGACAGATGATCGCCACTTTCAGAAAAGTGCCCTCATCATCAAGGCATATGTTTCAAACATGATGAACCCTGATTAGGTCAAAGATCCTGAAGAGATGGGTTGAATACTTCCAGAGCATTCTCAACAGACTTTCCATCAACTAATGCTGAAGCCGTTGATGGTATACGTGAAGTTAACGTCAATCCTTCTCTAGCCTACCTTCCTACTGAAGAAGAGGTTTTGAATGCCATTAGGCTTCTTTCATGGGCCAAAGCACTTGGTGCTGATTCTATTCCTTCTGAGACTTATAAGACAAGGAGTCCACTGCTCATGCAAAAGCTGACTGAAATTATCTGGGTTATATGGCAAGAGCAGGTTATCCCCCAGGAGTTCAAGGATGCCTCCATTTTCTATCTCTATAAAGGAAAAGGAAATAGGCTGTCCTGTGACAATCACTGTAGGGTCTCTCTCTTAGTCATTGCCAGCAAGATTCTCAGCACAGTCCTCCTTAATTGGCTGATCCTTCACCAGGAAGTTGGTCATCTATCTGAGAGCTGGTGTGGCTTCAGAAAGGGCCAAGGAATGATCTATATGGTGTTTGCTGCCCAAAAAACTCCAGGAGACATGCCAGGAGCAGAATAGAGGTCTATATACATTTGTGGATCTGACTAAGACCTTTATACTGTCACTTGTTGAAGATCATGGCAAAATTTGGATGCCCAGAGAAGTTCATCAATATTCTATGCCAGTTCCACCATGACATGCTTGCATGATTTTGGGGTACTGGATTATGTTCCTGTGTTTTCCCAGTCACCAATGGAGTGAAGCAGGGCTGTGTGCTTGCTCCCATGCCCTTTAGCATGATGTTTTCAGCGATGTTATCAGACATCTTCAATGAAGATAAAAATGGCATCAAGGTCAGCTGTTGTACTGATGGCAACTTTTTTAACTTGGAAAGACTTGAAGTGGAGGGAGAGTTGGTGTGTGACTTTTTTGTTCATGGATGATTGTGCACTTAGTGCAGCCTGTGAGGCTGAGCTACAAACAGGGTAAGGATTGATTCTCTGACCCTTGTGCTAATTTTGGAATCACCATTTAACATCAAGAAAATAGAGGTTCTACACTAGCCAGTGCCTCATCATCCATACGTGGAACCATAAGTAACAGCAAATGGAGAGATTTTGAATACTGTAGATAAGTTCATTTACCTTGAC